CGTCTTCTTCTTCTTCTTCTTCTTCTTCTTCTTCTTCTTCTTCTTCTTCTTCTTCTTCTTCTTCTTCTTCTTCTTCTTCTTCTTCTTGACATTATTTGAATAAGCACTATTTATGAGGCTAAGGATGATAGTAAAGATGATGAGGACTATACTTCTATGAGAATAATGAAAATAAGACAATAAAAGATCTGAAATTAGAGATAATGATAGCAGCAACAACAGCAACAACACGACATGGACGACAATCACAAAAAAACACGATATTATTATAAGCAACACAATAACAGGACCCATCAAATAATAATACGCTTTGGGGGATTTTTAATAACGGTCGCATTTTCGACTGTGGCATCATGGTTGAGCTCTTTGGCTTGCAGGCTGAAATCCCTCCCCTTTACACCTGGTTTTTCAGCGTTCAATTTCACTTTCCAGGCTTCTTTCATGCTGCCGATTGTCAATGTTTTGTTTGTATGGTGAACGAGACTGATCTAACTCCATAACTGTTGGCGACATAAAAATTTACACGAATTCCAAATGATTGTACAGATTTAATTCTGGCTGTTCAGAAAAATCGATAAAATCGTTTCTGTGGTTGCTAAGAGTTTACTAGAGGAAAACCGATGCTGTCGCTAGGATGACGAGACCTCCCGCGGGCCCAGCCCCGCCCCGGAGCTCCACAGACGCTGCACGAGCAGATGACAAGCCGGCCACCTGTTCCCGCGCCAGGCACCGGTCCTCCAGGAAATCAGGCACTCTGGCCCCGCCCCGGATGTCCTCGTCTGGCCGCTCCTCCACGCACGTCAGCGCAGGTGGGGACGGGTCGTCGAGGTCAAGGTTGATGGAATAACACACCATGTCGTGTACAGTGTCTTTGGCCTCGCTCCCAGATGTGTGGGCATCGTCATCACCTGACCAGAATTTGGAACTCCCAGCCGCTGGGGAAAGGAGAGATCTCGATGGTGGTGGGGACATGGGGTTTTCACCTCGTTCTCTTTCTCGAATGATTCGTATGGCTTTTGCGAAATCAGGCATGTTGTGGAACAGTTGTTCTGTTTTCAGAGGTGAGAGCTCATGCCTCTGAATGTTCACTAGATGCTTGCTCGTAAAGATGGTTTGGTTGAACTGAGGATCATGTAGGGTGCCAGAAGCCGCTGAGAGCTCGACTACCAAGTGCAAGAGGCTATCCAAATAACAGCCCCAGTCGGCTGCCAAACGACCCCGTTCGTGCGCCGAGAGTGAGTGGCCGCTGTTCTCCGTGACGCCCACGTAGACGTGAGCCAGCACAAAGCACGCCCCGCCACGACTGTGGGAGGTTCCCGGACACTCAAACTCCCCGCACGGAATGTCGGTACTCACCACTGCCTCCCTTCCCTCCTGGAGTTGGGTCAGATTGACATCACAGCGAGACTGCATCCAGTCGAGGGTGTCGATGGAGGACATGGAGGACCGCAGCTCAAACTGGAGGCCGTCCGTGGACATCAGCGTCAGGACCGAGAAGAAAAAGGAGCGAGTGAGACCAGGAACATGCAGGTACGGCGACAGAGTAATGTTCCAGCCTTTGTTACATATGGCGCAGTATTTGTTCTTGAACACTGGCTTGTTATTGAACCCCAGCTTGTAGACAAACACGAAGGAAGAGTCGCCCCTCTCGCAGCTCTGAGTGAGAGAATTGTCCTGGCCAGTGACGGTGTGGGGGCAGGTGGCGATACTGCTGGGGGCACACATAGACGTGAAGTCAGCGACTGTTTGGTCGGGGAGATACCTCGAGTCTTCCACAGTAATCAGTTGGGACAGTTGGGCCAGGTTCTGAATGCTGTCACCGGCTGACACAGAAGCTTCCAGACGCCACGGGACTGCGTCCGCTCGGGATCCTCGGTTGTTGCAGTCGTAGATCTCCTTGTTCTTGAAGGCAAGACCGGTGGACGGCTCGGTATAAGGAGCTTCCACCAACAGCATCTTCAGCAGCTCAGAGGCAGAAATATCCTGTAAAGTCTCAATTGGGTGTCCTTCAACGACTCGGGGCCTCTCTGTAGACCTGGTCAAGTTGTCCGTTAGTCGTTCCTGACTTAAGGGCGAGTCTCCGGTCAGTTCATCGACGGCGGATCTCCTGGGACAGGTGCTGATAAGATGGTAACCGTTCAAGCACTCAACTTCTGAGGACAGGAATCTCCGGAACGCGGTGCGGGCAGACTGGAAGACGTCAGGACAGGTCGCCTCGAAATCTTCACAACAGTTCCGGTAGACGAGACAAGTTCCGTGACAGGAGCAGGGCAGAGATCCCGGGAGTCGACACCGCCCCAGGCACGACAACACGAGTGGGTCTTTCGACTCTAGGAGGTGGGGGGCTGTGTTTGTCGGGGCTGTGTTTGTGTTTTCTGGGGCTGGGGGTGAGTCCATCGGGGCTGTGTTTTCTGGGGCTGGGGGTGTGTCCATCGGGGCTATGTTTGCCGGGGCTACGTTCTTCCAGACGTGTGGGGCTGTGTTCCTCGGAGCTGTGTTTGCTGGGAATGTGTCGGTCGGGGATGTGTCTGTGGGGCGGTGGGGTAGAGCCCCACTCTCGGTACACAGGAGCAGGCAGAGACAGACGACAGCTGGGATGTGGCGGGGTCGGGACGGCTGTGCTGGAGGTCGTGACGTCATCTTTGGGCTGTCTCAGAGAAAATACATTTTGTGTTCGTACAGACATTGGTCTTTGCTAGTTGTTTGTTTGTGGGTTTTGTTTGTTTGTGTTGTTTGTTTGTTTGTGTTGTTTGTTTGTTTGTGGTTTTGTTCGTTTGTTGTTGTTGTTTGGGTTTTTTTTTTGGGGGGGTGGTTTGTTTGTTGTTGTTGTTTTGGTTGGAAGGGGGGGGGGTTGTGTAGGTGTGTTACATGCTCCCATACACACAATTGAGATAATTACATTTAGAAGGCGAACCTGGGCTGAGAGGGGTACAATGTCTTAGACAATGAAACTAAACATATGGCCTTTCATGCTGTTTAGTTTTTAATTCATTTTTCTTAATATGTTTTATCGATTGCACATGCTCTAGAAATATCTTGTCAGAATTCAACTTTAAAAATCTAATCTAATGTTAAAGGAAAGGGCAAGAAAAATTACATAAAACATGTATCTCTCTCTCTCTCTTTCTCTCTCTCTCTCTATCTCTCTCTCTCTCTCTCTCTCTCT